CCTACTACAGGAACCCCGATGCCTGTAGCAGGAGCAGGCCAGGCCTGAAGAAACTCTCCGTGGGCCATCAGGCATCAACGGCAGAGACTGGTGAGTGACAATTCATGAGCTAAGGAATTTTTTTCCTATCTTACTGAATGCTTGGGGAAAAAGAAACCAAAAGCATAATATTTCTATTTAACCTGTGAAAATGGTGTGAAACACAAATTTTTAAAAAAATAATTTTATTTCCTTTGTAAACATAAATAAAATTCAAAATTATTTTAAACATAAAAGCTACAACTATAATACTTCTAGAATAAATCTGAGGAGGGAAGCTCCACAACATTGGTATTAGTAATAATTTCTGGATTGACACCAAAAGTGCAAGGAACAAAAGCAAAATAAACATCTGAGAAAAATATTTAAATGTTTCTTGAAGTGTAAAGGAAACAATCAACTACATGAAAATGTATCCAATAGAATAAGAGAAAAAATATATACATACACATATATATTATATAAAGAATAACCCCATACATTTGATATTCAAGGTATATGTGAAACTCACAAACACCATCAACAAAAAATAAATTACCTGATGAAAACATGAGCAAAAAATTTGTGGAATATTATAGTTTATTCACACCAGAGAAACTATTCGGTATTTACACATGTATGACTTATTTATTTCACTTAGGAGTATATCCACAATAAATATCCTATAAATGAATCTAATTTCTCATTCTTTATGGCTGAGTAGTATTCCATTTTATAGAAAAACCACATCATCTTTATCCAATGTCCAACTGATGGGAAAATGGGCTGTTTCCAAGTTTTAGCTATTACAAACTGTGCTGCCATAAACATGGGTGTGCATGTATCACTCTGGTGTGATTCTTTTAATTCTTTTGGAAAGATACCCAGAAGAGGGATGGCTGGGTCAAATGGAACCTCTAGTCCCAGCTCTCTGAGGTGCCTCCACATTGATTTCCATAGTGGTTGCACCAGACTGCACTCCCACCAACAATGGAGAAGGGTTCCTTTCTCCCCACAACCCTGCCAACATTTGTTATTGTGTGATTTCTTGAGAGCAGCCATTCTTTGTGGGATGAGTTGGAATCTCAGTGTTGTTTTCATCTGCATCTCTCAAATGACCAGTGACGTGGAACATTTTTTCATATATTTACTTGCTGCTTTTACTTCTTTGTCTGAGAAATATCTGTTCATTTCAGATGTCCGTTTTTGAATCTGGTCTTTTTACTTGGGGGAACTGATTGTTTTGAGTTCTTTATAGATTCTAGATAATAGTCTTTTTTCTGAGGATTAAAAATTGTTTCCCACACTGTAGGTTGTCTCTTAGTTCTGTTGATGGTTTCTTTTGCAGTGCAGAAGCTTTTTAATAAGACGAGATCCCACTTGTTGATTCTTTCTGCTAGTTCCCGGGCTACTGAGGATTTGTTCATAAAGTCTTTTCCTATGCCAATGTCCTCAAGAGTTCTGCCTAACTTATCTTAAAACAAGTTTAATGTTTCTAGTTTAATATTTAGATCTTTCATCCACTTGGATTTTAATTTAGTGCATAGTGGAAGATAAGGGTCTACTTTTAATCTTTGGCAGGTTGAGATCCAGTTTTTCCAACACCATTTATTAAAGAGGCCATCCTTCCTCCATTGGGGATGGTCAGCTCCTTTATCAAATTTGCAGTGGCTGAGTACATCTGAAGTTGTTTTTGTGTCTTCCAATCTATTCCACTGATCATCAAGTCTGTTTCTTTGCCAGTACCATGCTGTTTTTATCACAGTGGCTTTATAGTGTAGTTTCAAACTGGGAATTGTTATACTCGCTGACATGTGTCTATTGCCTAGAATGGCTTTTGCTATTCTAGGTCTCTTATGATTCCAAATGAATTTTTGGATTCTTTTTTCTAGTTCTGTGAAATATAGTGTTGGAATTTCAATTGGCATTGCCTTGAATCTATATAGCAGTTTTGGTAGTATGGCCATTTTCACTATGTTGATTCTTCCTACCCAGGAGCAGGAGATATCTTTTCATTTTCTTATATCCTCTTCGATCTCATTTTTTCAGAGTGCTGTAGTTTTCAGTGTAGAGGTCTTTTGCTTCTTTTCTTAGATTGATTCCTAGATGCTTCATTTTTTTGGATGCTATTGTGAAAGGAATTGTTTCCTTAATTTCTCACTCAGTGAGTCTGTTATTTGTGTATAAGAAGGCTACTGATTTTTGGGAGTTGACCTTGTACCCAGCTACTCAACTAAAAGTGTCAATTAAGTCTAGAAGTCTTTTGGTAGAGTTTTGTTGGTCTCAATGTAGAGTATCATATTGTCAGCAAATAATGACAGTTTAACTTCTTCCTTTCCTATCTTTATTGCTTTAATTTCTTTCTCTTGCGTAATTGCAATGGCTAATGTTTCCAATACTATACTGAAGAGGAGTGGTGATTGTGGACATCCTTGTCTTGTTTCTTATTTTAACGTGAAGGTTTTCAGTTCTTGGCCATTTAATATGATGTTGGCGGTTGGTTTTTCATAGCCTTTATTAAGTTGAGATATAGACCATCTATTCCAATTTTTTGCAGGATTTTCGTCATGAATGGGTGTTGAATTTTGTCAAATGCTTTTTCTGCATCTATCAAGAGGATCATATGGTTTTTGTCCTTGACACTGTTAATATAGTGCATTACATTTATTGACTTATGTATGTTGAACCATCCTTGCATCCCTGGAACAAATCCGACTTGGTCAGGATGAATGACTTTCTGTATTGTTTGCTAGTATCTTATTAAGGATTTTTGCATCTATATTCATTATGGGGATTGGCCTGTAGTTCTCTTTTTTAGTTGCGTCTTTCCCTGGTTTGGGAATCAAAGTGATACTTGCTTCCAGGAATGAATTTGGAAGTATTGCTTCTCTTTCAATTTCATTGAAAAGTTTGAAGAGTAATGGCAGTAGTTCTTCTCTAAATGTCTTGTAAAATTCAGCAGTGAATCCATCAGGACCTGGACTTTTCTTTTTTGGTAAATTTTTAATCACATTTTCAATTTCACTGATTGTAATTGGGGTGTTTAAAATGTTTTTATCTTTTGTTCAATTTTGATAATTCATAAGTATCTAGAAACCTATCCATTTCTTCTGTGTTTTCCATTTTGCTAGAGTATAGGTTCTCAAAGTAGGTACTGACTACCCTCTGGATTTCTGTTGGATCTGTTGTGACTTCAACTTTTTCATTCCTAATTGCATGGATGTGAGCCTTTTCTTTCCTTTTTTTGATAAGATTTGCTAAGGATTTATCAATTTTATTTATTCTTTCAAAAAACCAACTCTTCAATTCATTTATTTTTTGTATCATTTTCTTAGTTTCCATTGCCTTGATTTCTGCTCTAATCTTTACAATTTCCTCTCTTCTATGAGCTTTGGGTTTTTCTTGCTCTTGTTTTTCTAGGAGTCTAAGATTCACCATTAGGTTGTTTATTTGAGCACGTTCTGTTTTCCTAGTGTGGCCATTCAATGCTATGAATTTTCCACGTAGAACTTCTTTCATTGTGTCCCATAGATTCCTGTATGTTGTATTGGCATTTTCACTTATTTGTAAAAACTGTCTGATTTCTTCTTTAATTTCCTCTGTGATCCATTGATTGTTCAGGAGAATATTATTCAATTTCCATGTGTTTGTGAAGTTCCTAGGATTTCTTATGCTATTGATCTCCAGCTTGATTGCACTATGATCTGATAATATACAGGGAATAACTTCGATTCTTTTGCATTTATTCAAAATGTTCTGTGAGCTAATAGGTGATCTATCTTGGAGAATGACCCACGTCCAGTCAAAAAGAATGTATATTCTGATTTTGTGGGATGGAACACTCTATAGACATCTATTGAGTCCACGTGTTCAAAAGCTTGGTTCAGTTCTAGTATTTCATTATTGATTTTTTGCCTAGATGATCTATTTGTGAAAGTGGGGTATTTAGATCCCCCACTACAATTGTATTAGTGCTTATTTGGTTTTTCATGTTTCTTAATATTTCTTTTATATAGTTGGGGGCATTTATATTTGGTGCATATATGTTTATGATTGTCACCTCTTCCTCTTGAATTGTTCCCTTTACAAGAATGTAGTGGCCTTCTTTATCTTTTTTAATCAGTTTTGGTTTGAAATTTACATTGTCTTCAAATATGATTGCTACCCCTGCTTTTTTTCTGGGTTCCTGTTGCATGGAGAATTGTTTTCCATCTTTTCACTTTCAGTCCATAGGCTTCTGTTTTGCACTAGGTGTGTTTCTTATATACAACATATTGTTGGATTTTGCTTCTTAATCCATTCTGCCAGTCTATTTCTCTTGATTGGTGAGTTGAGGCCATTGACATTGATGGTTATGACTGATGTGTACTGACATTATTGTCATGTTATTGACCTTTTGTTGACTTTTTACTTTTTCTCCCGTCTCCTTTCAGTTTCTTGCCTTGCCTATTTGATTTGGTCTATTGGGCCTCATGGTATTGTGACCTTCATTGTCCTTTTCTAGGATATTGTTTAGAATTCCTTGTAGTGCTGGTTTGGTATTCATGAAGTTTCTTAGATGTTCTTTGTCACAGAAGTATCTTATTTCCCCATCCATTTTGAAAGAGAGTTTTGCAGGATACATCAGTCTAAGTTGGAGGTTTTTTTCTTTTAGTACTTGAAATACCTCACTCTAGGCTCTCCTTGACCTAAAGGTTTGTGTTGAAAAATCTTCTGTGATTCTGATGGGCTTTCCTTTGCATGGGATTTGTTTCTTTTCTCTTACTGCTTGTAGTATTTCGTTCTTCTGTTGGATTTCTGGGATCTTGATTATTATATGTCTAGGTGTAGATTTTTTTTTTATTGTGGCTAGTTGGGGTCCTATATGCCTCACTTATTTGTATGTCAAATTCTTCCCCTCTGTTTGGGAAGTTTTCTGTCATTAATTCTGTGAACAGCTTTTTTAAGTCATCTGCATTTTCTCCTGCTACTTCATGGATTCCTATCAATCTTATGTTATTTTTCTTTGCATCATCTAGGAGTTTTTGAATCAATTTCTCATGATCTCCTACTGTTTTTAAGAGACCTCTCTTTTCACGGTCACTGCAATCTTACCTTCTATATCTGAAACTCTACTTTCGCATTCTTTTATTTTGTTGTGAGTACTTTCAAGAGAATTTTTAATCTCCTGGATATGTGTTTGAATCTGTTTTATGGATTTCATTTCTTTCCTATGTTGGGCATTAATTGTTTCCATTTCTTTCTTATGCTGGGCATTCATGATTTCTATCATGGTCCTGAGCTCATCTATTTTTTTGTCAGTTTCTGCTCTAGAGTCTCGAATCATGACTTTCATTTTGCTCACCATCTCTATGGTTATCTGGGAATTTATTTCTGTTTTGAATTTTTGTAGAGCCTGGTTGATCTGTTTTGTTACTTCCCGTGCTTTGAGTGCAGGGTGTCCTGGTGGTTCACTATCAGCCTTTTCATCCTCATTTGCCCTACTGTTTGCCACTGGTGAACTTGAAGTCTGTCTTTGTGTCTTGCTCAAGTGTTTTCTCATTTTTATTTTTGTTATTGGGTTGCCCTTGGTTTAATTTTTGGGTTATTACTTAAATCTTCTTGATGTAGTTGCACTTAAATTTTTGGGTCTCTAATGACTCACAGACACTCTCATTTTCATATCAGAGAAAACAACTCATTAAGCTCATTAACCCCGATGCCTGTAGCAGGAGCAGGCCAGTCCTGAAGAAACTCTCCTGTGGGCCAGCAGTCATTAATGGCAGAGACTGGTGAGTGACAATTCATGCACTAAGGATTTTTTTTTTCTTATCTTATTGAATGTGGAGGAGAAGAAACCAAAGGCATAATATTTCTATTTAACCTGTGAAAATGGTGTGAAACACAAATTTTAATTCACATACAAAGGTTTACTGGAACACAGCTGTGCCCATCTGCCCACCCATTGTCTATACCGCTTCTGTACTACAACAGCAGGTCTGAGAAACGGAGACAGAGCCCAGCTGGCCTGCAAAACTGAAATACTTGCCCACTAGCGCTTTACAGAACCAGTCTGCAGAATCCCTGCTTTAGCAGATACCGTGGGCAGTAATCAAACAAGAAGAATCTTACTGCTACAGGCTAGGGCAGTAACTCAGTGGGAGAGCACCAGCCTGGCATGCACAAGGCTCTGAGTTTGCTCAGATAGATCTTAATGTTGAACTATTATTTATCCACGATGTTACATGCTTTCCTTCAAGTTTCCCAAAGCTAGAAGATTCATGCTTAGACAGACCGGGGAGGATAGGCCGTTGTGGCTACACTAGGTTTGGGGAGAAGAAGGATGAGGAAGAAATCTTCACCCAGGCCAAGGACACCGGAGGATGAACTGGTGAGGTCTTCTTGGGCAGGTGGAGGACTGTGGTTCAACACCACTGTGTCCTGTAAGGACAGACCCAGTGTCTTCAGCATTGGAGCCAGGTCTCCCCCAGTGCTGATTCTGCCATGAGACCTGGGTCCAAACAGATGCAAATAACCCTGAGTGCCATCCCCACACAGAGGTGTGTATGGGTGTGCTCCTCCCTGGAGAGGCTGCTGAACTCTGAGTGGGCTAAACAGAGAGCCGACAACATGCAAGTCACTTCAGTCATGAAACGAAATGCCTATTTTTCACTGAGGTTTTACAAACCAGTGAAGAATCTGTAGTTTTTTTTAAAAACTTCTCTGTTAAGTAGAGTACCACGCCCTCTTGTCACCCAGAACAATAATACTGCATTTGAGCAGTATTTCTTTCACTTTAGTTTGCAGTTTTGCAGCAGCCTAGCATTTATTAAGAGACAGAAATGGATTTTAAGATGAGTATAGTAGCTTCAAATACACATGCATATTCACACGTACAAACACATGCATGTACACACACATCGCACACATACACACTCAAATTTCTGCTTCAATACACACACACACACACATAGACACACACACACTCATATGGAATGTGTATGTGTGTGTGTGTGTGTGTGTATATATATATATAAAAATATATATACATATATCCACACACGTTTATAATCACACACACACACAACACACTAAAATGCACACATACGCACACTTATACATGCACGGGATACACACTCACACACACACATACACACACACACCAAAACCACACTCTCTGCTATTTGCCGTGATCCTTCTAATAAGAGATATGTGGGGGGCCAGGGATTTAGCTCAGTGGCAGTGCACCTGCCTGACAAATGCAAGTTTCTGAGTTTGATTCCTGGTACCAAAAAAAAAAAATATGTGGGGACACTTGTCATTAATACAGCGATAGAGCTGGAAGAAGCTACAGGCACCATAAGCTCTCCTAAGAACTTCCATGAAATACATCTCCTGCCTTCCAATCTGCCATAAAACCTTTGAAAGAAGGGTGGTAGCCGGCTCGGGCACACGTGGGTGCCCCTGAGAGCCTCCTGCCCAGATCAGAAGCCCAGCTGCCTGGCATCCCACTCGACAGACCCAAAGGGAATCCACTGAAACGACTCCGCAGACTCTCCTCCAACCACACACGGGGAGAGCCACCGCTCATCCTTCATCTTGTCACTCCGTCTGTCGTTTCCCACTGTCACACACTTGCCCGGCCAGTGAAAAATCCCACGTTCTAACCCTAATCACGCCCTGAGGGTCTGTTCTCATCAGAAGCATCAAAATCACACCAAGTTCAGGGGGCAGGAGCGTGAGCACCTACCTGGCGTGGTGTCTGCCGTGCCAGGAAGAGCAGCCGCCGGTAGCAGGGAGCTGAGTGGCCGCAGGCTCAGCATGGCCATCAGAGAACTTGGTGGGGTGCCACGAGTGAGGTCTCCAGCTCACATCACTCCTCCTGGAAAAGAACGAGGAAGACTTAGGCAGGGGCTTCGCACACCACACGCCTGTGGAACCAGACAGTCGGTCCCGCCTGCTCCAGTGGGACCCACAGTGTGCCTCTTGGCTGCTGGCCACTGTGTTTGGGGGCACATATTCTGTTAGGTGCCTATTAATGACCACTTTGCCCTCGGGCTGAGTGGGAATCACAGGCTGCAGAACGCACAGCAGCATTTATTCCTTAGAATTTATGCCTGCATAAATATACAGGATTATTGTGTATCGATTTAAATTTTAATAAATAAAATGAGCTCTAAAGAATCCCCCCCCATGGCATGAACAAAAGGAGACTTTCCCATGTTTTGGACAAAAGTGCAACTTCACACAGGAACCAGAGCATCCTCGGGAAGAAAGGATCAGACTGGAGAAAGTCAGTGAGGCCCTAAGTCGGCGGTGACACACAGAGCCCCTGTGGCATATCCCTGCTACTCAGTCACCTAAGCAAACCCCACTGGTTTGCCGCTACGACCAGCAGGGGTGCTGACAGCACGCGCTGAGAGGCTGACCATGGGTTCCCATCCTTGGAAGCATGGCGATTGCCCCAACAGGCCGGGGATCCTTTTGAGCAGGGCTCTCCAACACGCTAGGAGCCTTCCTGAGCTCCTGCCACAGTCCCCTCGGTCCGGGCGTAGCCCCTTACTGCTCCGGCGGCACCTACCCAGGTGGTAAGCTTGAAATCCCTACAGATGCTCTCCCACTCACGGAGCCCATCCAAGCCGCATTCTGCTCTAAAGCTTCCGAGGGAAAGCCAGCTTTCCTTCCCACTTCCGCCCCCGCGGGCAGCAGAGAGCTCACCGTGGGCAGCTTATGGAGCAACCAAAAATGGAGAGAAAACCCGACTGAGCACCTTTAGCTGCCTTACAAAGACCAGACGTTTTCCCTAGCAGGACAAAAACAAAGGCTCTAACGACTCTACGGAGACAGTTTCACCACACCACAAAAGAAAGGAATTACAAAATCGAGACTGTACCTCATCGAATTTCTCAAAATCCTCCTGAGGAAGCCTCTGGCCACCTGAATTTCATTTTCAGCTGGGGTTTTTTTGGTTTTTTGTTTTTTGGTGGGTTTTTTTTTTTTTGGTGCCATAATGTCCACTGCTTCTTTCATCTTTCTTTATAGCTAGTTAATGAGAAACAACCTAGACTGACTGAAATGAGGCAAACGGAAAGAAAAAGAAGGCTGAGAAAAGAGCATGCCTGGGGCGTGCGGCGAGGCTGTCTACACCCCAAGGCCCCGACGTCGGATGTTTTCGCTGGGACTAGTAGGGTAGTAGGGCTCGGTGGGCAGAATGAAAGTTCTTCCAGAGAAACTCTCATTAGCCGACACATAACAAAATACTGCCCATGCATTTTGCTCTCCCAAAGGATGTGTGATAGGTTAAGAATGGCTGTGAAGTCTCCGGTACCTCTCCTCTTCCGATGAAGGTAGCTTCGCATTCCTCCCCCTGACCCCGGGCTGGCCCAAGTGGCCGGCCTAAACAACAAAACGGGAGGAAGGAACAGTGTGGCACATTTGAGCATACTCACGGGAAGCCAGGAAGCTTCTTCCTGGGCCCTATGAAGGGAGGGAGGGAGGGAGAGAGAGAGGCTGTGAAGTCTCCGGTACCTCTCCTCTTCCGATGAAGGTAGCTTCGCATTCCTCCCCCTGACCCCGGGCTGGCCCAAGTGGCCGGCCTAAACAACAAAACGGGAGGAAGGAACAGTGTGGCACATTTGAGCATACTCACGGGAAGCCAGGAAGCTTCTTCCTGGGCCCTATGAAGGGAGGGAGGGAGGGAGAGAGAGAGAGGAGATGACCAAGGTCTTCACCACAGGGCATCTCTGGATGTTCCATCCCCCACCACCGCCACCACTCCTCGACACACAACGGCCTCCGCTGTGGAAGGCCGGCGCGTCCCTGCTGTGCCCGGCCTTGATTCCTAGTTTGGCCCCTGGACAGACAAGTGTCGATCCTAAGTGTGGCCACTCCCAAGTCCCAGTGAAGGAGGCAAGTTACTTAAGCTCCCAGACCTCTGCTGTAGCCCTGTACCGTTATTCAAATCAATTAAAATGAAATAACGTCAGCCTGGCCATTTCACAAGCACTCGGGAACCACTTGAGGCTGGCAGCTGCTACTCCAAGCTATACAGATGTGGCCTCCATTGCTGCTGCTGGGTATCACTAGACAACACACCACTGGGGCTTCCAAGCACAGCGCAGAAACTGTTGGCAACATCTCCCTCCCTGCCCTGCCTGCAGGGACCGATAACCACCGGTGCGGCATAATCTGCAGCAAAACTTTCATCTCAAAACAACCAGCCTGGACTCACCTCAAGGACATACCTTTGTGCTCTTACAATTTCAAACCTGGAAATTCCACTTCCGGGGGTGGGGGTGGGGGTGGTGTTCTGATACAGCACAGATTACCAGAGGAGAGCACACCATACAGAAATCCATTTCTGAAGCTTTTTGGGAAGCACCCTTTGCCCCAAATACACACAGCTTCAAGATGCAGAATCAGTTCAAGGAAAATCAACTTTCCCCATGGGCCAAATCCTCAAAATCAAGTGTGAACAGAAGCGGAATCGTAGGCTTAGTTACGATCAGAGGGGAGAGAAGCTCGGAGGTAACGTCAACCCGCAAAGTTAGGGGAAAAAATACTCACCCTTAAGAAAATGAGGGTTTATTTCTTTGTGCTGTAAATGATCCAGAAAATAAATACAGAAACCATCTAGCAGTCAACAGAGCTAAACAATTCCATTCCCGGACCAAAATGTCACTCTGAACATGATAGGTAATACTTCAATGATACATATTTCAATGATAAATAATATTTTAAATGTATTCTTTTACTCCAGAATGTTTTCTATAGTGGTACTATTCAGTTTACATCTAATACTGACTTTAACAGCCAGTCACTTGGTCAAAATGTAGGGTTCCATGGATGGATGACTGCATAAACAAAGTGTGGCCCACACATTCCCTGGAATATTATTCAGTCAGAAAAAAGAAAGAAATTCTGAGATACGCTACAACCCAGATATCCATTATGCTAAGAGATACGACAGCTACAAAAGGCTGTTTTGTGGGATCCCACTTGAGACGAGGCACCAAATTCCCAGAGTCAGAAAGTACTATGATAGCTTCTATAGGCTGAAAAAGGCAGAATGGGACGTGCTATTTAAATGGACTTCTCAGAACTTCAGTTTTACCAGACAAAAAGAGTTCTGGAGAATTGACAATACGAATCTACTTAGCACTACTAAACTGCACACTTTTGATGGTCATAATGATACATTTCACTTTATAGGCACTTTATCCCCTCCTCCAACCCAAAGGACTCTTGGGGATCTCCAGTAGTCACGGCCATCTCTGGGCTGTGTCGTGCCACCAGGACACAAAGACACACACGGACATTGAACTGCACGCCAGCAAAGGAGGAGGCCAAGACCCAGAAGTCATCAGTCAGAGCTCGGGTGCAGGCCAAGCGTCACCCCAGCCACCACCGCCATGACCATTTCCAGGCAGGGACCTGAGCAGAGACACGTCACAGGCACTGACGGTGGAAAAGGGCTCCCAGGAACCCCAGCGCCTGCACACAGACAGATGGCACTCCTCTGGGGCTTATCCTTGGGGACTCTCTGATGGGCCAAGCCATGCTCGGCGAGGCCACGAGGAAGCCCACAGCACCCGGAGCTCCTTTGCAAGAAGACCACACACAGATGGAGGTGTCTAGTTCAGGAAGGCACAATGACGGTCCTCATTAAGGCTATCTCTTTAAGTGAACAAATGAAGATCCTCAGGAAAAGGGGTCATATTCTCCCACAGCTGCCGGGGACGGTGACATCCACCTAAAATGTAGGCGCTTTCTGTCATGTCCTCTGAATTTCCTGATACATCATGGCCATCCTTGGAAATAAAAGAAGGGCCAGGCTGGTTTCTGTTCCTAAGCACTCGTGACACCCAAAAATCGGCAGCGCCTGCAAACTAGTGGTTCCTTCACAACCCCAAGGACTTGGGAACAGGGCGCTCTGGTGCCACCTAGTGCCCACCAACACTCATTGCCCCTTTGGCTCGCTTTAACTCACACAGCGCTCATAATGGATTTGAAATCCTCTTCCCAAAGCAGCTGTGCCATCAGCTCCCCACATCATGCACCCTGGAGCCCCAAAAATATGGGCGCTGTGAACAACAGGTCGTAGGAGTGCTGCACTATGCACCACCAGAAAGCAAACACACCAACAAACTGCTGCTAGCTCTGAGCTTGTGCCACACACTGAATGGCAAAGATTTCACTGAGCTAATTCTAACAACTCAGCAGAAGGTGAGAGAGGGGGCCAGCGGGCATGGCAGTGGGTGCTCGTGATCCCAGCACTCTGGGAGGCTGAAAAGGAGGACTCTAAATTTCAACACGGCCTGGGCTTCTTAGTGACTTGACAAGACCCGGTCTCAGAATAAAAAATAAGATGCGGGGGACCCTCTCGGAGAACATCCTGGCTGGGCTCTATCCCTACTATGGCCAAACTATGGCCAAACAGAGCAAAAAAACAAAACACAGAGGATATTTTTATGGCTTTCCTGAAATTTTTCCCACAAAATTGCACATCAAAATATATTTAAACTTACTTCAATTTTGAAAAATGACATTATAGGCTAGGTATTCTGTGGGTTTTGTTTTTGAAAGGAAAGGGTTCAGATCACAAATACAAAAATGCTAATATGCCCTAAAGATTTAGAATATGCCTGGATATCAAGTATTATTTTATTGTAAGAACTATTTCAATGAAATATTTACAAGAAGAAAATTCCTTCCCTTTCCTCAAAAAAAAAATCCCATCAGTGTTAGCTTATTTTCACAACACTTGAGAAGAAAGCAAAGATGTACCACCTCTCAAAATAAGCTTGCATTTCCTGCCCCCGGTTAGCAAGATGCTAAGTGTAGCTGGCACCAGGTGGGCTGGCCGGGAGGGACAGAGCCCAG